AGAAGCTTTTGAGAGGGAAAACAAACAATGAAAATAACAAATAAGGAAAGCAAAAAGCCCAAAATATCCAAACAATCCATCTAATAAATAAATTCTCCGAACACACACACAATACTGCGAGCACTACTTATTAAAAGCAAAACAATACTGGAGGCATAAAAACAATACTGAAGTGCTTTAAAAAAAACAGCGCAGAAAGACCTCAACCAATATTCAAGTAAAGCAGCTGCCTATGCCATACAAGACCTGATCAAGAAAGACAGCGGTACCACAGAGAGAAATATGATAAATCGCTCTTTTGCATTTCTCTGACTGCTAATAAAAATGAAACACCATTCCAATCTGGTATTTGCCTGCTAGAGCGGTACCTCTCGCTTTTGTCTTGCCCCATCCCAACTCCAAGATTTATAAAAATCCAGTATTTCCGAGTTCGATTTTATATTCTTCATTAAATATAAACAGAAAAAAACTTTAATTACTGGGCGAAAACAGGCGGAGGAGCAAAAGACCAAAAAGAGGAGGAAGAGGGCGCAGACGAAGAAAAACGAAAGGGGAGCGGAGATGCGCTGCAAAATCTCCAATTCCCGTACAATTTCCGCGGCCAAAATTGAGTATTCCTCTCTAAGCTCCCAAACTCCTTCGTCCGAGTTATTTTCGCTGTTGACTTTGGTCAAAATTAGCACGCACCCAGCCCAGTCTGTACATTTTCCGAAAATCTCATTTCCTTTCTGCCTAAATTCTTTGTGCCTTGTTACCGAAAAATTGTGTTTTTCTAAATTACTTTTTACGCCCTTTAACTTCGTTTTTCGTCCCAAGACCTTAGTACTTTCTGGAAACGGAAAAGCGCAGTCATTTTATCTCACTATTTTCAGCACACAACAGCACAAAACCATGTCTTACCCAAAGGAACGTCAGGTCTTACACAGTTAGACTAAAATAAACAATTAGTTGCTTTAAAAGCTGCAAATAACAGTGAATTAATAGATGAAATCCGTTAATACCTGTCTTATCGGGCAGCAAGAAACTCATCAAGGTCAACACAACGCAAGGTGCTTTTCAGAAGCGCCTCACGCTTCTCCTTCACCTTCTGAGCAGGCGATCCTTTCCCCGGATACTTCACCGACATTTCGGAGAGAATGCCCACGGCGCATTCCTTACGAAGTGAATCGATGTATTTTTTGTGTTCAATTCGATAACCACGGCAGTGCTCAAACTCTGAACAGGAAAAAAAATTACACCACTCATTGATAAATGGCCTGTTGCGATGCAGCAACGAGTGAAAAATACCAAAAAGAAAACGATCAGTCTGATAACTTACAGCACTGAGCACAACTGATAGAGCTAGCGGAGCAAACTGCTGACATTTTTCGACCCAGCCCAGC